CCCTCCGGGGTGTTTGGATCCCACTGGGGGGTCCTGGTAGCTGGGCCCTGACATACTCTTGGGGGTTCTGGTAATCTGCTGGAACATGCTCCTCCAACCATTTAGAAGTGGCTTGGAGTACTCTCCACCTTTCATCAGTGTTGAAAAGATACATAAGCAGCTGGTGGCAGTCAGACCAAGTGGGGTTATGAGTCTGGACAGTAGTTTGCAGTAGGTCAATGAGAGCTTGTTGATATAAGATGGGGTATTATTTTTCCAGTTGATAAGATCAGCTAAGGTGAACAGCAGGTATGTGAAAACACGTCTTTCCACCATGTGGCCATCCTCATCCACTCCTGTATACCTCTGCTCTCATAAAGGCATCTGCACCCCTGACTTGGGTCACAGATGTGCTGCTAGAGGAGGAGTTCCTCTCAGGGGGCGGGCAGCTATGGGAGGAGTCCCTCCATATTCTTTCTTGTCTACCCTGGGTGGGTTGGGGGTGTGCAATTCTAGCGGGGGTGCTGAGGTTTCAGGCCCCTCCTGATAAGGGGAAGGTATCATTGGCAAAGGCTCTTCTGCCATGGATCTGTCAGGACCTTCAGAGTGTGCGTCCCTTGGCGGATGATGTGGGGTTTTTCCCTAGCTGCCTGCCCCTTTGCCCTCAGTACCGTTGCTGCTTGTTCTCTCAGCCTCCATGGAGGGTTTAGAACTAGTTGCAGCCATGAGTCTATGTACGGAAATTGATCAGGGTGTCCTGGCTTGCATGTGACCTTATGCCATACTTTGGAGACAAGAGACCTGTCTAGGTTTTCCTATGAGGGCCAATCCAGCCCAAATGCTGGCCAGTCTACCTCACATAAGGTCCTCAGCTTTCCTGGTGTCATAGTCACTCCATAATCCCCACTAAATCCCTTCTTGAAGTTTTTTGGCATGGTCCCCGGAGCAGTAGGCTTGCTATGAGTGTGACCCATGTGTTTTGCACAGAAAACAGTACTCACAGGCAGTAAAGAGGGTCTTACCCCATCCTCAGTTTCTCCCACCCTACATGGTGTGACACACTCTCTTTCACTTTCACTTCAGGCTGGTAGAACAGTCTCCCTCTTGGGAGTGTTTCAGGCGCTGCTTGGCAATGGAGAGTTCGTTACTCCCCCCATAATACCTAGATTGCGAGGGCACCTCCTTCTAGCTGTATGCGGATTGCCCCTAATCCCAGCTGGCCCCACAATTCGCTTGGAGTTTACAGTCCCCTCTAATGGACCTGCCACTCTCACATTTCATGGCTGCTGAGTCCAGTTGGACGCCTCCAATCTCTCACACAGTCATACACCTCTCACCACCAAATTGAAACCAGAAGCAAGACTTCCAAGGTTAGTTACAGACAGAGAGAGAGCCGAGTTCAGAAGTGCCGAATTCGACACGTGTGGGTGATCAGGCCACGCTTCCACCTAAAGAACGTGGGCAAGTTTCCCAGGACAGGTCCTACCGTGTTTCTGTTGTCCAGACTGCCAGTGCCAGGTCCTTCCCGGTGTTCAGCCTCTGCATGGATCCGCTGTGGGGGCCTGCCTTGCCCTGCTCTGGCAAAGCGTTCCACCGGGGCAAATGCCTATCCAGGAGTGCTCTCAGGACCCACACTGCCCAAGTGGGCTGGAGTCCCCCGCCGGGATGCCCCACAAGGCAAGGCAAACTGCCTAAGAGGTTGTCTCAGTTGTCTGCCAACTGCAATAGTTTCCCGGTCAGGGAACCAGGAAATGTAGCAGGACACACTGCAGACAAAACCTCTCAGTCACCAGGTTTGTGAAGGAAGTGGCTTTTCATTCGGCTGGGAGTCTCAGCAGACTTGCATCTCAAGAACCGAGCTCCTCTGCCTAGAAAATCCTGGCCTCTTTTAAAGGCTCACAGTCTTAGAGGGTACATGTGAGAGGGTCGTGATTGATGAGGTAAGCGAGGGATACATGACTTAGGTGGGGTCTAATTGTGACTAAGCAAGAACAATGCCTTCCAGAAGGGATTCCTCCATACCATGCCTGGGATCTATAGACGGGGATAGGAACTAGGGAGAGGGGTTTCATCTTTAACCTCGAGGTCTGGTTACTGGCACCAGTTTTGTCTCCTCCACTGACCTTGTGCTTTCTATTTTCAACTTTTACTTCTCCTTAGTAATTATTTTAAATGTAAATAGATTAAACTTCCTAATCAAAATACATAGAATTGTTAAATGGATTTTTTTTTAAAGACCCAACTATATGGAGTCTACAAGAGATTCACTTTAAAATTAAGAATACACATAAGCTAGAAATGAAAGGATGCAAAAAAAGTATTCTATGCAAATGGTAACAAAAAGCACAGATGGCTATTCTTACATCAGACAAAAGAGATTTCAACTCAAAAACTGCCACAAGAGATAATGAAGAACATTATATAATGATAAAAGAGTCAATTAACCAGGAAGATATAGCAATTATAAATTTATGCACACAAGATCAGAGCACCTAAATATATAAAACAACGAATGACAGAATTGAAGGGAGACATAGACAACAGTAATAGTAGGAGATTTTAATACCCACTTTTAATAATGGATAGAACCTTCATAGAAAAGATCAATAATGAAACAGAGGACCTGGCCAGGCGCAGTGGCTCACACCTGTAATCCCAATACTTTGGGGGGCCAAGGCTGGTGCATCATCTGAGGTCAGGAGTTCGAGACCAGCCTGGTCAACATGGTGAAACCCCATCTCTACTAAAAATACACAATTAGCCAGGCTATGTGGTGTGTTCCTGTAATCTCAGCTACTCGGAAGGCTAAGGAAGGAGAATCAGTCAAACCTGGGAGGCGGAGGGTGCAGTGAGCTGAAACTGTGCCATTGTACTCCAGCCTGGGCATCAAGAGTGAAACTCCATGAAAAGAAAGGAAAAGAAAAGAAACAGAGAACCTGAACAACACGATAGACCAAATGGACCTAAAAGACATATACAGAACATTCCACTCAACAGCAGCAGAACACACATTCTTCTTAAGCATGAATGGAACATTCTCTAAGAGAACTCACAGGTTAGATCACAAAACAAGTCTTCACAAATCTAAGACAAGACACCAAGTATCTTTTCTGGCCATAATGAAATGAAATTAGAAATCAAGACAGGAAGAAAACTGGAAAATTCACAAGTATGTGAATTAAGTAACACATTCTTTTTTTTTTTTTTTTTTTTTGAGACGGAGTTTCGCTCTTGTTACCCAGGCTGGAGTGCAATGGCACGATCTCGGCTCACCGCAACCTCCGCCTCCTGGGTTCAGGCAATTCTCCTGCCTCAGCCTCCTGAGTAGCTGGGATGACAGGCACGTGCCACCATGCCCAGCTAATTTTTTGTATTTTTGGTAGAGACGGGGTTTCACCATGTTGACCAGGATGGTCTCGATCTCTTGACCTCGTGATCCACCTGCCTCGGCCTCCCATGGTGCTGGGATTACAGGCATGAGCCACCACGCCTGGCCAGTAACACATTCTTGAACAATCAGTGAGTCAAATAAGAAATAAAAAAAGAAATTAGAAAATATCTTAAGACAAATGAAAACACCATGTACCAAAACTTACAGGATCCAGCAAAAACATTACTAAGAGGGAAGTGTATACAGGTAAATGCCTACATTAAAAAAGAATAAAGATTTCAAGTCAGCAGCCTAACTTTTACATCTTAAGGAACTAGAAAAGAAGAACAAACTAGGCCTAAAGTTAGCAGAAGGAAGAAAATAATAGAGATTAAAGCAGAAACAACCAACATAAAAAACAGAAAACAATTTTTAAAAAGAAAACTAAGAGTTGTTTTTTTGAAAATATCAACAAAATTGATAAGCCTTTAGCTAAACTGAGAAAAAGAGATATGAATCAAATAAAATTAGAAATGGAAGAGGAGACATTATAATTGATGCCACAGGAATAAGAAGGATTTTAAGAGTCTACTATGAACAGTTATAGGCCAATAAGTTGGATGGCGTAGAAGAAACAAATAAATTCCTTTTAACATATAACCTTTAAGGCTGAAGTCATGAAGATTTCAAGAAAATCTGAGAAGACATAAGGGACTTGAATCAGTAATTAAAAACCTTCCAACAAGGAAAACATAGGACCAGACAGCTCAACGACAGAGTTAAACTAAACATTTAAGAAAGAATTAATACCAATCTTTTCACAATCTCTTCTTTAAAAAAAAATGAGAAAACTTCAAAACTCATTCTTGAAGGTCAAAAACCCTGATACCAAAGCCAGACAAAGATACTACAAGAAAAGAAAACTATAGGCCAACATCTCAGATGAACATAGATGCAAAAGAATGAAGGTAACTTCTTTACACTGTGAATGGGCAAAGAAATCCAGTGAGGCCAAGGTTATCTATTTCATCTGTATCAGTATTCCTTCACTTGTCTTGATATTAAGTAAGGGCTCACAGTGACTATGTGAAAACTTCAGTACAATTGTTGTGGCTGCAGTAAAACTACAACATACACATAGAACCTCAAATGGATTCATTTTAAATGAAGAAAAGTAACAATATAGTTTATTTTAAAAAATACTTCAAAAACATTTTTCTTGATTAAATCTGTGGCCACTTCATTGTTCCTGCATCCCTAAAGCATTCTTAAAATTAATCAGTGAGGTTTCTTCCATCTCATTACATGAACTTTGTCACATGATGTCACATGCTAGCTAACTGCATGAGTGGTGCAGCTGCTCGAATCAACCAAACATAAAAAATACTAAAGTTATTATCAGAAGAGTAGTAGGTAAGAATTCTACTTTGCAAGTTGATGGTACCACACCAAAGGTCTTCTACTTAGAACAGGTACATTTTCTTTCTTTCTTTTTTTTTTTTTTTTGAGATGGAGTCTCGCTTTGTTACCCAGACTGGAGTGCCAGTGGTGTCATCTCGGCTGACTGCAACCAGCCTGTTTTCTTTCTTTTAAAATGAGAATAAGGATGCAAAATATTTGAGTGATAACAAATAACACAAAAGTACAACTCTTGGAGGAGAAAATCTGACATTTACCAACAGTTTTGGGGAGATGACACATCAACACTTAAATGATACAATCCATCACATGAATCTGTAACGTGTCTATGTCAGGCAGAACCTCTCCGCATTTGGGGCAGGAATGAATTGGAATATTCCGCTGTTGCCGCCAGTCCCGGTCCTCAGCTCCTGAGAATAAGTATGAAATGAAATATCATTCCATTAGTTCTATTTTGCAGGCAGTTTTGTTTGTTTCACTTGAAGAACAGATGGTGAGCGTTAATATCAGTTCAACTTTGTATTCAATACATAGTGGGACATGACCGCAGGTGTTTGGTCTTTAAAGTCATCACAATGCACATAGAGAAAAATCTCTCCAAATGATACCTGCTTCCTTATTATTTTAGATTTTTTTTTTTTTCCTGAGACAGAGTCTCGCTCTGTCATCCAGGCTGGAGGGCAGTGCTGCGATCTCAGCTCACTGCAACCTCTGCCTCCTGGGTTCAAGTGATTCTCTTGCCTCAGCCTCCTAAGTAGCTGGGATTACAGGTTCATACCACCATACCCAGCTAATTTTTGTATTTTTAGTAGAGATAGGGTTTTGCCATGTTAGCCAGGCTGGTCTTGAACTCCTGACCTCGTGATCTGCCCACCTCGGCCTCCCAAAGTGCCGGGATTACAGGTTTGAGCCACTACACCTGGCCTATTTTAGGATTTTTTTCTTTTCCTTCCTTCTTTCCTTTCCTCCCTCCCTCCCTTCCTCACCCCTCCCTCCCTCCTTTCCTTCCTTCCTTCCTTCTTTTTTTTTTACACATGGAGTCTGGCTCTGTCTCCCAGGCTAGAGTGCAGTGGCTCAATCATAGCTCACTACAGCCTCTCACTTCTGGGCTCCAGTGACCTCCTGCCTCAGCCTCCTGAGTAGCTGGGACTATAAGCACACGCCACTACACCTGGCTAGTTTTTAAATTTTTTCTAAGGATGGGATCTCACTAGGTTGCCCAGGCTGATCTTAAACTCCTGGCCTCAACTGATCCTCCCATCTCAGCCTCTCATATACTGGGATTACAGGTGCAGTGGTGCATTCATTTAGGATTGAAACTGTATTCCAGTTTCTACTTATGTGAAAATACATGGTTTCAGTTCTAGGTACAGGACATTGCATGTTCTAGTGAACACTAGGATATTTGAGCGAAGAAAAGGGATGAATGAGAATATAAGCAAAAGAGGGAGGGAATGTGGAAAAAGAAATCCAGAGCCCAGGAGAGGTTTCCTGGAACAAGGTATACCTTCCCAGAAACAGAGGCAATCATCTCGTTTGTTAGAAGATGCTTTTGAGTCCTCTGCGATGTATGAGAGATACTGCCGTGTGCTGGGAGACAGACGTGGTGGAAAAGCCAGGCGAGAGATGTGGCAGCAGTGGCGTGACAAGGTGTCAGACACGAGTGTTAGGCCAGGTGAGGGCATCCATGTGAGAAAGAGAAGGGCCCCTGGTTTAGATCTTGGTACAGAAAGGCCTCCTAGATGAGACCAATTAACTAGAGAGGGGCATTGAGAATGAACAGGAGTTACCTAGGTAAAGTTAACGAGGAGGAATGACTGAAGCATGCACCCTGTCATTTCCCCGAGTTCTGGAGTTGTAGTGAGGTTCAAGCCTCAATTAGACCATGTGTGAAATAAGCCCTGACTCTAGGTAGGTCTAGGTTCTATACACACTGTGACTGATGCAGGACATTTTCCAGTTCCCAGGCATCTCTCTGTTTCGACCTTTCTGGACCAATGCAAACCATCTTGGTTTTTTGGTCTTAGCCTAGACTTTGGCCTTCAAAATGTTTGTTTTGGGAGGTAACCTTTATTTGCTTCTAAGTATATTATTTGAATGTAGTAACATGTATGAATATTTGAGATTGTGTTCAGCAGCCTTAAGAAGCATTTCTGAAGAGATAAATATTGATCATAAGCATGATTTCTAAAGCAGGGAGCTTTCTAATCACCACACTGCCAGAGACGAGGGGTCAGGATCCAGGGCTGCCTCTGCTGTCCCATTCCCAGCATAAACAGTGGCCCTTATACAACCCAGGGAACTCAAAAGTGTCTGCTGAATAAATGAGACCATTGCTTCTGCTTCTGAGAAGGTACATTCTGTTCTAGCAGACCTCTCCTGGGAAGGTGGATCACTTGAGGTCAGGAGTTTGAGACCAGCCTGGCCAACATGACAAAACCTCATCTCCACTGAAAATACAATATTAGCTGGGTGTGGTGGTGCATGCCTGTAATCCTAGCTACTTGGGAGGCTGAGGCAGGAGAATTACTTGGACCTGGGAGGCAGAGGCTGCAGTGAGGTGAGATCATGCCAGGGCACTCCAGCCTGGCCTACAGAGTAAGACTCCATCTCAAAAAAAAGAAAAAAAGAATTTAAAAACCAGTTTCACATGAAATTTAAGATGGCATCCTAAGGCCAAACTCTTCTTAATGGCATTTCATTAACTTCTTTTTATTTTTTACTTTTTAGCTATGTCAGTCATTGATCCTTTGAATGTTATTGTTTTTTTTCATATCTAGAATCAAGGATAATACTTCCCTTTCAGTGATTTACTGTAAGACAGTGATTTTATTGTAAACTAGAGAACAATATTATTAGTGTATGAAAACCATGTAATAAATACAGCACCATACTTTTAAGACATTTCATGGATCAATTTCACTTGGGTTTGGGGGAATTAAAATATAAATATATTACATAATTAAATAACAATCTATTCTATGCAGTAATGTGTAGTGGTCAGAGTCAGGTAACTTTGGATTCCACTTCCAATCTACCTTGAACTAGCTTCACCATCCTGGGCTATTTAACTCTGTCAAGTTTCATCTGTCTTCTGTAAGGAGGCAGTAATATAAATCTCCTAGAATTTTGTGAGCTCAAATGAGACAAAATGTACAAAGTGAGATCAGCACAGTGCCCACACATAGTAAATGCTCAATAAATGGTGACATTACGTAACACCAGGTAGTGGGTAAAAATACTGTTCCATGGGAGCGCATCATTGAATAAAGTACTTAGGCCATGCACAGTGGCTCATGCCCACAATCCCACCACTTTGGGAGGCTGAGGTTGGCAGATCACCTGGGGTTAGGAGTTCGAGACTTCTGGCCTGGCCAACATGGTGAAACCCTGTCTCTACTAAAAATACAAAATTTTTTTTTTTTTTTTTTTTTTTTAATACAAAAATTTAGCCAGGCATGGTGGCATGCCCCTGTAGTCCCAGCTACTGAGGAGGCTGAGACAGGAGAATTGCTTGAACCCGGGAGGCAGAGGTTGCAGTGATCCGTGATCACGCCACTGCACTTCAGGCTGGGCAACAGAGTGGGACCCTGTCTCAAAATAAAAATAGAAATAAAAATATCTACCTAGAACATATAAACACCTATAAAACAGCAGATAGATACTAACATACAGGAATAAAGTACTTTGGAAGTTCAAAGTGGAAACAGTTCATGGAGACGGAATTTGAAATAGATTGTAAAGATGGGGTAAGAGGTCACTGGAGAGAGACTGGAGGAAGACAGGAATATGCATAAGAAAAGGGCGTCTGTGAAGGGCACTGTATAACAAAATACTTGCAAGCACAGGCTTAGGACAAGTACCAAGGGGCTGAATCAGTCTGGCTAGTATCTGTAAGAAAACACAGTAAGATATGGCTTAAAAGTGTGGCTGCAGGGTGCACACAGTGGCTTACACCTGTAATCCCAGTACTTTGGGAGGCAGAGGCAGGCGGATCACTTGAGGTCAGGAGTTCAAGACTATCCTGGCCAACATGATGACACCCCGTCTCTATTAAAAATACAAAAATTAACTGGGCGTGGTGGTGCACACCTGTAATTCCAGCCACTTGGGGGGCTGAGGAAGGAGAATCACTTGAACCTGGGAGGTGGAAGTTGCAGTGAACTGAGATCTCACCACCGTGCTCCAGCCTAGACAACAAAGTGAGACTCTGTCTCGATTTAAAAAAAAAAAAAAAAGGAAGAAAGAAAAAGTGTGGCTGTGCCAGGCACCCTCTGGCAGGGTGAAGAGTCTGAGTCTGGTCTGGATTCGGTGGGTAATGGATGGAGATGGGAGTGCTGTGGAAATGAGACTGACGGATGCTACATTTTTGGTGCCTTGATTTGGAATCCATTGTATAGAATGAAGTGGATTTTTTCTTCAAGCATCTTTCTCATAGGGTAGCTATTTCCTGAAAATTCAGGATCACATGGGACTCACCTCTCTGAACGAGGTAAGCCTGCTGGTCAGCGTCACTTGTTCTCGCCCCGTGACGGCTCTGCATCTCCATCAAGGACTGCCTGCTGGGATGAAAAGCAACACTACATGTGACGTTCTACAACTCTGAAACGTGACAACATTGACAGCTCTGCGACAACATTGACAGCTCTGCATCTCCATCAAGGACTGCCTGCTGGGATGAAAAGCAACACTACATGTGACGTTCTACAACTCTGAAACGTGACAACATTAAGTAGACAGTCAACAGAAGCAGGTGAGAAAAAGTCAAACTACACCTCCAAGTAGTAATTTTAGTTTTAAATACTACTGGCACTAGGAGACTAAGCTGTGAAAGTAAATCATTACAGTTAAAAACATCAGGAAATAACCAAACTGTCATCAACAGGAAACAGATTAGAAAGAAGTGGCATGTTTATAAATCAAAATACAGCAATGAAGTATAATACATTACATTGCATATATCAACATAGAGCTCAAAATCACAACATTATGTAAAGTAGGTTGCAGAACAATACCTGTAGTGACCATTTTGCAACTTAAACACAGAGAAACCAATATTATCTGATTTTGAGATATGATATAGGTGTGTGTGTGTAATATGTAAAAAGTATAAAACAGATGGGGAAGCTACCCACCAAATTCCTCACAGCAGGAGGTAAAGAAGAAAGGAATATAATGATGAATGGGGAACAGAGGAGACTTCAAATCTTATCTACGACTGCTTTTTCTCCTTTCATAAAAAAATACTTGAAGCAAATAAAAGCAACTGTCAATGCAGGATGGAGTATATATTAGAGTTTGTTATTTTATTCTCTGTGTTTTGCTGTGTTTTAAAACTTTCTCAAATAAGTTTCTAAAAGAAGTAATTTTGGGCAGTATTTTTTTAAAAGAATATTAAGGAATTTAAAGTGCTATGAATATTTCATCCATGACGATGGCAACAGAGGTCACCGGGACATGTAATATTACTGTTTTTCAGCTTATCTAAACGCAGAGAGCTTGATCAAGCTCCCAGAGTCTCTGTTAAGTTTTCCTGTAAGATAGACTAAGTGTTGGGAACATGATCACGTGAAGTGTAAGTGAAGCAATGGTTACTATTATTTATTTTTCAGACAGGGGTCTCGCTCTGTCATCCAGGCTAGAGTGTAGTGGCGTGAACACAGCTCATTGCAGCCTCAACCCACACAGAGCTGTTCTTATAATTCAAATCAGAAACGTCTTTGAGCAGGCACCCTCTTCTACAGCTAATGCTGATGTGAGCTCTGGGTCCTCCTGTCTCTTTTTTCCTTACCTGCCTCCATCTTCAAAAACATCATTCTCTTTCAGCAGAACTGCTAGCTGCAATGCCAGTTGCTCCTTTTCCTCATGAATTTTCTCTCTCGCTGCTCTTTCAGCATGAAAATCAGAACAGTAAACTTCCATCTGTTAGAGGAAAAAAAGATAACAGAAGTGAGTACCTAGAAGACTGTGGATTCTCTACAGTGCACCTGTTTATGTGGTGAGTAGGTAGTTCTGTATCCTTCCATGGCCCTTGTGAATCATAGATACATATTCCTGCTAGAAAACAGTATAATGGCCATGACTTTCCAGGTACATTCCAATAGTAGATACAAGCTGTGTTTGTGTGTGTGCCTTAAACAACACAAATCCTGCAACTACACTGATGTAGGTGGCTTAAATACTGTAGGTACCATTAGTTCAGCAAAATTATCTGGACTTTTATATAATAAACAATTCAGGACCAACTTAATATAGTAAATGGCTTATTCATTCTGCCAGGTATATTTATGAAGGCCGGTCTTAAGCTACATCGGCCGAGGCAGGCGGATCACCTGAGGTCAGGAGTTCAAGACCAGCCAGGCCAACATGGTGAAACCCTGTCTCTTAAAAAAAAAAAAAAAAAGAACAAGAAAAAATAAATAAATAAAAAGATAATAATCGCAAATAGATGCTATCTATTAAATTCCAAACATGGGGCCAGGTGTGGTGGTTCACACCTGTAATCCCAGTACTGTGGGAGGCTGAGGCGGGTGGATCACCTGAGGTGAGGAGTTCGAGACTAGCCTGGCCTACATGGTGAAACCCCATCTCTACTAAAAATACAAAATTAGCCTGGCATGGTGGCGCATGCCTGTGATCCCAGCTGCTTGGGAGGCTGAGAGAGGAGAATTGCTTGAACCCAGGAGACGGAGGCTGCAGTGAGCTAAGATCACACCACTGCACTCCAGCCTGGGCAACAAGAGCGAAACTCCATCTCAAAAAGAAAAAAAAAAAAATTCCAAACATTTTTGAGGTCCTATGTTGGGTGCTTTACATTTACTTTCTTATTTTACCTTATGAAAAATGCTGAGAATATAAATTGCTATCCTCATTTTACAAACTTAATGGCTCTTAATCTTGGGGAAAATGTGGCCTGATAATCAGTACTTGAACCAGACAGAAGACCATTTCCCATGGACTTTTCCGTATTCAATCCATGTCCCATCTGTGGTCACCAGCCTCCTAAAATGGCTCCAGTGATCCTCACCTCTTCCTATTCATCACCTTGTGTGTTTCCCTCCCACAATGAATAGGGCCAACCTGTGTAACCTCTAGAATATTTCAGAAGTGATGGTGTATGGCTTCTGAGACTAGGTCACAAAAGACACTGTTGTTACTGCCTTGCTCTTTGTTGCTTTGGGGAAAGCCAGCTGCTATGACACGAGGGCTCCCAAGCATCCCTCTGGAAGGGACCACATGGTGAGGAACTGAGGCCTCCTGCTGACAGCCTGGGCAACATGGCAAAACCTCATCTCTACCAAAAATACAAAACAATAGCTGGGCATGGTGGCATGCACTTGTAGTTCCAGCTACTCAGGAGGCCGAAGCATGAGGATCACTTGAGCCTAGGAAGTTGAGGCTGCAGTGAACCATGATCATGCCACTGTACTCCAGCCTGAGTGACAGGAGTCAGACCCTGCCTCAAAAAACAAAACAAAACGATACAACATTAGGCATTTTTGGAAGACAACTTGGTAATATTTATTGAACTGAAAAATGGACATAACTTATGATCCTACCGTTGAATTTCTGTATCTTAATATAGATTCCACAAATGCACAAAGACATATAAGAATGTTCATTTGAGCATCCTTGGCAACAGCAGAAATACTGGTACAACCAAATACCCACTAATGGAGAACTGGCTAAATCTATCGTGATGATACACACTTTGGAACATTATGTAAAACTTAAATTAACAAAATAAATAAATGATAAATAATATGAAGGGATATCCCTGCTACATCATAAACGAAAAAGTTGTAGTACAAAAGACATAACATGATCCCCTTTTTAATGAAGCCCAAAACCGAAATAAAAACAGAAGACATTTTGTTTTATAATGAGTAGCACTATTTATATAACTTAAAATAAATTTAAAATATTTCAGTAGCTAATGATCCTAAAACTACCTCTGACATCTCAAGTTACTTAAAAAGAAAAAGTGTTGGTCCCTTTTTTTTTTTTTTTACACCTCAGGAAGGATATATTCTCCTTCATAAATTCTCGTCCATTCACCAAGACTCTACTCGATAGTATCAAGGGTGGGCTAAAACAGTCACAACAAGCCAATCTTACACAAATTCTTCCAGAGAACAGAAGAAGAGATGTACTTCAACTTGTTTTTATGAAGTCAGTATCAAAACCTGACAAGGACACTCATAAAAGGAAAATTCTAGGCCAATCTTACTCAAGGATATAGATTTTAAAATCCTATGCAAAATATGAGCAAACCAAATTCAGCAATATATATTCAAGAGATGCAAAGTTTGTTTAATATTAAAAAATCAGGCCAGGCACAGTGGCTTATGCCTATAATCCTAGCATTTTAGGAAGATAAGATGGGAGAATTGTTTGAGCCCATGAGTTCGAGACCAGCCTGGGCAACACAGGGAGACCCTGTCTCTACAAGTAATTTAAAAACTAGCCAATGCGGCCGGGCGCGGTGGCTCAAGCCTGTAATCCCAGCACTTTGGGAGGCCGAGGCGGGTGGATCACGAAGTCAAGAGATCGAGACCATTCTGGTCAACATGGTGAAACCCTGTCTCTACTAAAAATACAAAAAATTAGCTGGGCATGGTGGTGCATGCCTGTAATCCCAGCTACTCAGGAGGCTGAGGCAGGAGAATTG